CAGTCCTTAGTACAGTTTCTGATACTGCCAGTCCTTAGTACAGTTTCTGATACTGCCAGTCCTTAGTACAGTTTCTGATACTGCCAGTCCTTAATACAGTTTCTGTAACCTTCAGTCCTTAGTACAGTTTCTGATACTGCCAGTACTTAGTACAGTTTCTGTAACCTTCAGTCCTTAGTACAGTTTTTGTAACCTTCAGTCCTTAGTACAGTTTCTGTAACCTTCAGTCCTTAGTACAGTTTCTGATACTGCCAGTCCTTAAATGTGTCTGTATTTTCAAGACATTAGTGCAGCTTGAAAATTAAAAAAAATGTTGTTTGTTCCTTACTTTACTTCTCAGTCAATCGGGAGTGCCAGTTTACCTAAAATGTTTGGGAGAAAGTTTCTGTGCCTTCTAGCTATAGTCCTAAGTTAATTAGCTAGTATCTTGTCCAAAGCTTATTACAGATTCTGTAAGTCCAGGCAGTCCTTCATTACAGATTCTGTAAGTCCAGGCAGTCCTAATTTATCACAGATTCTGTAAGTCCAGGCAGTCCTTTATCACAGATTCTGTAAGTCCAGGCAGTCCTTTATTACAGATTCTGTAAGTCCAGGCAGTCCTTTATTACACATTCTGTATGTCCAGGCAATCCTTTATTACACATTCAGTTATCTTTAGTTCTTACCACAGTTTCTGCTGTTTACACATGTTGTGCATTTTGAAATTTTTTTTGCACAAGTTCACTATACTTCAATGTGATGTCATCTGGTGGTTTCTGTTGGTTGTCTGATCATGATGTTGGCTCAGTTTTCAAGTGTTTATAATTAAATGTACCTTTACGCATGCAAGGTTTGTTAAATGACACCTAATCAACTTACATGAACACATGAAAGGTATGTCCTTTCATGGGGGAAAAAAATCCAAAAATAGAAATTTGCTTGATAAGTGGAAGTGACAAAGCCTAAACTCTTTGCCATCATTTAGCTTGTGAAGAGTAGATATTGACGAGATTGTGGAGTTTAAGTTTTGGAAAAAACTTTGTCTCTCATGACTTAAAAAAGCTGCTTTTATGGATCAGTAAGACATTAAAAGGTACACTTCTTATACAAGGAACAGCCTTGGGAGCAAATCTCAGGTCTGCTTTCATTTCTGAAATAGAAAGAATGTGTGGAAAAAGTTGAGAAACAATGTCTCGGGAAAGATGTATTGGCTGAAATCAAAGCATTAGATACTAGCTGCTGAAATGAAATGTTGAATTCTGTAGATTGTATACTGAAAAAATATCTTCCTTATTGGTCCCAAATGAAGTATAAAGTAAAAGATTTCCATGTAAGCAATTTTTTTTTTTAAATGTTTAGATCAGCAGAAAAGTACTGGGTACTTGTACTGTGATTGAATGAAAGAAGTATACAATGTGTTTGAAAGACATGATATAATAAAATATAAACAATATTTGCCAACAAAACATATGAACTTGTCTATGCAGAATTACTAGAGATGTCTTGTTCATTACATATGTACAATAAAAATAAAATACACTATATCGTCATGTTCAGACTTGTCACAGAAAAATGATTTAATGTTTTAAGACCATCCTATCTAAAAGCTCAAGTTCTACTCAGTTTACTTAGTCAGATATCGATGTATTCCCCGAATATTATGAAATAGTGTTACAGTATGGGTCTTTTGTTTAGGAAACTGTTTTATAGTATCATATATCCTTAATTATCCGGAGTCTATTTTTTAGGTCACCTGAGCTTTTAGCTCAAGTGACCTATTGCTATCCGTTTTCGTCCGTTGTCGTCCGTCGTCCGTCGTCTGTTAACATTTTACATTTCAAACTTAAAGTCAAGTTCTGCTGGGCCGTTTGAACTGAAAGTTGGTAGGAATGATCGCCTCATGGTCCTGACAAAGTGTTGTTATTTTTCGGGTCGATCAGAAATCCAATATGGCCGCCACGGCCGCCATTTTGAAAACCTATTTCAAACTTAAAGTCAAGTTCTGCTGGACCGATTGAACTGAAAGTTGGTAGGAATGATCGCCTCATGGTCCTGACAAAGTGTTGTTATTTTTCGGGTCGATCAGAAATCCAATATGGCCGCCACGGCCGCCATTTTGAAAACCTATTTCAAACTTAAAGTCAAGTTCTGCTGGACCGATTGAACTGAAAGTTGGTAGGAATGATCGCCTCATGGTCCTGACAAAGTGTTGTTATTTTTCGGGTCGATCAGAAATCCAATATGGCCGCCACGGCCGCCATTTTGAAAACCTATTTCAAACTTAAAGTCAAGTTCTGCTGGACCGATTGAACTGAAAGTTGGTAGGAATGATCGCCTCATGGTCCTGACAAAGTGTTGTTATTTTTCGGGTCGATCAGAAATCCAATATGGCCGCCACGGCCGCCATTTTGAAAACCTATTTCAAACTTAAAGTCAAGTTCTGCTGGACCGATTGAACTGAAAGTTGGTAGGAATGATCGCCTCATGGTCCTGACAAAGTGTTGTTATTTTTCGGGTCGATCAGAAATCCAATATGGCCGCCACGGCCGCCATTTTGAAAACCTATTTCAAACTTAAAGTCAAGTTCTGCTGGACCGATTGAACTGAAAGTTGGTAGGAATGATCGCCTCATGGTCCTGACAAAGTGTTGTTATTTTTCGGGTCGATCAGAAATCCAATATGGCCGCCACGGCCGCCATTTTGAAAACCTATTTCAAACTTAAAGTCAAGTTCTGCTGGACCGATTGAACTGAAAGTTGGTAGGAATGATCGCCTCATGGTCCTGACAAAGTGTTGTTATTTTTCGGGTCGATCAGAAATCCAATATGGCCGCCACGGCCGCCATTTTGAAAACCTATTTCAAACTTAAAGTCAAGTTCTGCTGGACCGATTGAACTGAAAGTTGGTAGGAATGATCGCCTCATGGTCCTGACAAAGTGTTGTTATTTTTCGGGTCAATCAGAAATACAATTTGGCTGCCATGGCCGCTATTTTGCTACTAAGTTCTAATAGGCCGATCTCACTTAAAATTGGTCTAGGAATGATCAGCTCATGGTCCTGACAAAGTTAAGTTAACATTATACTATTTTTTACTCAAATTGGTACATATTTCAACAACAAAAATAAATACTGTAGACTCAGGTGACCGTTTAGGCCCATGGGCCTCTTGTCTAATTACTAATTGTTTGCCTAATCTACAAGTGTTATTTTTTATGTCCACAGGGTCGACACTTGGATGACGTAACACTAGTTTTCCAGGCACACCAGAGGAAATTTACTGTAGATCTTACACTAAATAAGTAAGTATCCTTTATCTTACATGGAACTGTCTTTGTAACACAAGTCTATGTTTTGGCTTTCCATTAATGATTTAATTTGTAGATTTGTTTGTCCAACTTTTATTTTTAGGCCCTTAGCAAATGTACCGTAAAACACTATTATACCTTGATTTTATATTTTCATGTTAAATTGTGAGATTCGTAGATTGAAGTTTTCCCGGAATATTTATTCAGACAGACAAGGTATAAAAAATAGCTGTCACTGTTCCTTTCATGAATACTTGCAATCTTCACAAACATGTTGTATTGAGAGCGATTGTATTTTTTTTTTATTAGGTCACCTGAGCTTTAGCTCAAGTGACCTATTGATATCTGTCTTCGTCCGTCTTTGTCCGTCGNTCTACTGGGCCAATTGAACTGAAACTTTGTAGGAATGATTGACTCATGGTCCTGACAAAGTGTTGTTATTTTTCGGGTCGATCAGAAATCCAATATGGCCGACATGGCCGCCATTTTGAAAAACTATTTCAAACTTAAAGTCAAGTTCTACTGGGCCAATTGAACTGAAACTTTGTAGGAATGATTGACTCATGGTCCTGACAAAGTGTTGTTATTTTTCGGGTCGATCAGAAATCCAATATGGCCGACATGGCCGCCATTTTGAAAAACTATTTCAAACTTAAAGTCAAGTTCTACTGGGCAAATTGAACTGAAACTTTGTAGGAATGATTGACTCATGGTCCTGACAAAGTGTTGTTATTTTTCGGGTCGATCAGAAATCCAATATGGCCGACATGGCCGCCATTTTGAAAAACTATTTCAAACTTAAAGTCAAGTTCTACTGGGCAAATTGAACTGAAACTTTGTAGGAATGATTGACTCATGGTCCTGACAAAGTGTTGTTATTTTTCGGGTCGATCAGAAATCCAATATGGCCGACATGGCCGCCATTTTGAAAAACTATTTCAAACTTAAAGTCAAGTTCTACTGGGCCAATTGAACTGAAACTTTGTAGGAATGATCAACTCATGGTCCTGACCATGAGTCTTGTTATGGCCGCCACGGCCGCCATTTTGAAAAAAGTATTTCCCACTTAAAAACAAGTTCTAATAGGCCGATTTAACTGAAACTCGATCTAGGAATTATCAGCTCATGGTCCTGACAAACTTAAGTTAACGTTATACTTAACTATTTTGTACTCAAATTGGTACATATTTCAACAACAAAAATAAATACCGTAGGACTCAGGTGACCGTTTAGGCCCATGGGCCTCTTGTTAATTACGCAAATATAGCCAGGTGAGCAATACAGGCCCTTTGTGTCTTTTGTTTAAGAAAAATAATAAAGTCAATTTTATATTTGGTTTAAATATTTCGGGTTGAATTGATATTAAGTTTTCAGTCATTATTATTTAGTAACTGGGCTCTTATGTCTTTTTATAAAAGAACTTATCCTTGATAATGAAATCTCAACCAATACCCAACACTATATTATTTTACACCGAGTGACATTGTCTGTTAGTATATAGTATTATATATTGGTAGATATCAGCAATACCAGACGGAAACAGCATGGGAACACTAAATGCTATTAGCAGTTAGATCAATACAAAACAATCCTTTCCATGTAAAAGAGAAATTTTGTTACTATATGAATAAATGCTGGTAGCTGATCATGATGCTTCTGTTAAGTGATTAAGACTGTAGCTTGTGAAATAGGACAACATAATTCATTTCTCAGAAACAACTTATTCAGCTTGAATTATTACTGAAATTGTACTTCAATCAATAACAGCTATATTTTCTGGAATAGATGATCTGACCTAATGACAAGTCTAAAAAAAATATGTGTGACCAAATTACTGTTTATCTTAGCTGATTTCAATCTAATTTCTAATCCTAAGAAAATATATCTTTTCATTGTCTATTTTCCATGAACAACTTTGCATTTAGAGAATTATGTTATGAGTCCACTCCAGGAATAGGTAAGTGTTACACTTACAGCTAAGGTGTATTTCATCTGGACAAATTAACATGATACAAAATGTGTTCCTTTAAAAGAAATCTATAAGATTTGTAAAGAAAATAATAAATCTTTCTATAAGAAATTACCATTGGAATCATATCATCATTAGTGTGACTCTCCAATAGATTTCCTCTATGTAGAATCCATATATCAGGAAAAGAAATTAGTATTCAGATTTACATAATGTGTTATACTTTGCACTATCAAGTACATTTACAGCTCAACCTCGTTAATTTAGACTCGTAAAGAATAGTGCAGTTTACACCTCATTATTAGTTTCCATTTATAACTGTACCACCGTATTTAGCTAGAAGGGAAAATGTGCTCACTATATATCAATGTTGTCAATAGCAGTAAGACGTGTCATCCGATGTCTGTAGCAGTCATCTGTCTTTGTTAGACTCCTATATCATGGGAGCTTGAGCTGCTAAAACAGGAGAAGAAGTTGCTATATAAGTGGATGATGATGAGCTCTATTTTAAGAGCTGAAAATCAATATAAATTCTGCTGATGGTCTATAACACTAAATGGGGAAGCCGTTTGAAGTGTTCTTTACATTACATCTATGTGAAAAGACTTCTCTCTTTGTGTGTTGGTGTTTGGGGAAGAGTTTATAAGAAGGCTTTGTTTGTGTTATGTTTGTATTTATAAGTAATGTTTATGACTACACAAATAATGAATACATGTACAACATTTGCATAGTACAAGGATTGTACAGTGTATAACTATGTACATAGTAATACATATTAATTACAACTAAATATCTGTAATATAATAAGAACCTATAGCTTATGTTTAAGCCCCAGCCATTTAAATTGTGTGTGTGTTGGGGGGG